CTTATAAAAATACAATTTGAAATTCCAGAAATATTTAAGAAAGAGATCTGCATCAGGCTACAGAAGGAATTCGCAGAAGATCACATTTGTGAATTATGCAATCCAGAATCACAAGGAGAATTTGAACATATCCAGGAATGACGTAAGCACTTACGTCAGGAGGCAATAAGAGAGCAGATAGTGGAGGATAATGGAGCAAGATAGTACTGGACGAAAATGGAGGATCCCACCTTCTTTTTAAAATTGTCTTGTTGTAATAATAGATAGGACCTCATGCACTATGTAATGGGATGGTGAGTAACCACCCACACCCACTAAGGACCTATAATGTAAAGATGTCGGTCATGATGTAAAGAGGCAGAGTTATAACTCTTGCCTATAAATAAGTGTCTCAAATTTCATTTGAGAACACAGCAATTCGGAATAAAATCATTTCATATAACACTCTCTTATAAGATTCTTATGCTTTCATATATAATGAGTTTCTAAATACTTAGTAGATATAAGAAGAAAGATTAAGGGTGTAGTTGATTAAGCAATAGTTTCTCTGGAGCACTGAAAAGTTCTGTGAAAAGACCGAAGCTGATATGCGTCAAGGTTATTAAGTCCAGAATTGTGTTGAGAACAGGCGGAATCAGGTAACTCTCTTAAATCGAGTACTCTTATATCTATCTTGTTAAAGAAAATTGTTATCGAATTTTTAGTTTCCCATGGACATAAATAATTTTTGGTATATACCATATAGAGAAATATATAATGATATAAATCGTCTCAACTTAGTAATAGAACAAATTGATTCATTAACAAAAATGTTAAAAGAAAATGAACAAACGTTATTCAACTTCGTAAAAATTTATGCACCTAAGGAACATTCAGTAGAAGATGAAGTTTATTTCCAAGATAAAACTTATTTTCGAATATGTAATAATATTATTTCTTCAATTATCGGGATCAAAGAGTTAATAAAGAAAGCTGAATGTCAAGCATCTAGTCTAAGTGTTCAGATAAGATTAAGAATTCTAATATAAGATAATAAAAAATAAATAATGGATAACGAATATCATGTTATAGAAAATGTAGAAGAACAAGGAATTTATTTATCAGATATATTATTAGATAAGAAGGTAGTAACAAAAGTAAAAAATAAAGGAAATTTAGATTTAGAAAAGAAAGAAGGAATAAATAATAGTATATTAGAAAAATTAAATAGAAAAAACATAATACATTATGGAATAATGAATGGAGAACAACCGATTAGAATAGAACAAACAAATTATAATTTTCAAGCACCCTTATTTGAAATAAATCAAATAGAAAAAAGATTAGAAAAAATAAAAGAAGAAGAAAGGAAAAAGATAAGTTATATACACATAAACACAGTACAAATAGTATTACGATCAACATTTAGAGAAGGAATAAAAACACCCATAAATATAAAGGTTGAAGATAATAGAATCATGCATAAAGAATCAAGAAAACTAGGAGAAATAGAAGGAGATTTAGGGTACGGAGTAATTAAATTTAATATATCATTACAATTTCCTATACCCCTATCAACCAAGAAAATTAATAACTGCATAGGAATAATATGTAATTTTCGAGAAAAAACATTAATGGAATCAAGAGATATACCTATGGTTGTTTGTTATAGAATAGCTTATGCATTAAGCAATAGTAGTTTAAGTATGAATTATCAAAATCAAGAAAGGATATATACAGAAAAAATATTCAATGAAACTAGTACTATTATTAAAAATGATAAAATCCAAAAGGAATTCTTAAGAGAACATAGCAGACGATCATTTAGTAATCCTATAAATTTAGAAAAACTAACTGAAAATAATTTATTAAAAATTAAAGAAATTGAAGAACCTCATAGTAGTAAAAGTTTATATAAAGAGGATATAGCAATAGAAAAATTAAATAAACAGGTTAATGAATTAAGCTCATTAGTTATAAATTTAAATAATAAAATATAGAATTTGTAATAATGGATAGGAAAGATATAAATATTGAATTAATTGAGTTAAATAAAAGAGAAATTAAAGAAGTAGATTATTTAATAGAGAAATCAATACAATATAAATACATAGAAAAAGATGAACAAAAATTAAAACAGCTAGATTATGACATACAAAGGTATAAACAAAAATTTAAGAAAATAAATAAAATAGGACCACCTAAAACAATAATATAAATGACTTCGAAGAAAGGAGTATATAAAATCAGACCAGAAAAAATATCTAAAAGAAAAACAAGTTTTTCAGAAACACAAAGGTTAAAAGAATTTCTTTCAAATTGTAGAACTCAATTAGACTGTGAATTCAAATGTTCTGAAAAGAAAAGTATTATTAGAAATAATTTTACTAGGTTAATAGACTTCTTAAATAAAGATATCAAAAAACATATGGAAGAGCAAAAAGAAGAACCTGATATTAATCAGCTTATTCTTGAAAGACAAGAAAAGATAGAAAATAAAATAAAAACTTTAGAAGAAAAAGATACTACTATATCTTTAGGAGATTGGATTAATCTATAAATAATATTTTACAAACGATATTATTAACAATATTATTTAAAAATGTTTAGAAATAAAAAGTAAGAAGAAAATGGTATCAGAGCCTGGTAACAGGTGAAATACTTAACTAAAAAATGCCACAAATAGATTGGCTAAATGCATTTTTAGCAAGACGTGAAACTCTAGAGAAGAAAATTTCAAACGCAGCACCGCATTCTGAAATACATGAAAAACATATAAAATATTGAAAAGATAAGCTTGAATGTATAAATATAGCTATCCAAATCCTAGAAACAAACAGTAGAACTTTTTCAAGACTAGAAGAACAATTTTTTGAAAAATGTTTAGATCCTTGGAGATATAAAAAATAAAGAAAACAAATTAAAATGAGTACAATAAAAATTTATTTGGACATAGAATGGGAAATTCAAAATATAAAAACAGATATAATAAGATATGCTTATTTACATGATATTACAAGTGAAGAATTTTATTATGACACGATAATGATATGTGAAAAACAATTAAAAAGATTAAGAAATCTACAAACGCAAGTAGCAGTTGCATAAACTGATATATCAAAAATATTACATTTACACTAAATAATTACCCTTAACAGTAAATGGAAGAAAGGCTAATAGCATTATTAAAAATACTAAAGGCACTCCAATGAGTGCCACCCGGAGTGAACCGGACAAATGGTCCTAAAGGGGCGATACATGTACGTAATAACAGGAGCGGTCTTTAGTAACGCCAAAAAAAATTGAAAGGAGCCTGCATAAAAGGTATAGGTAGAAGGAAGAAAAAAACGTACATTACTCCAAAATTGGGCGAAAAAACATTAGGGCAAATACAAATCACAAATCCGAGCCCCCAACCTCCTTGCACCCATCGGCCACCATCTCCCTGTCGCCTGCACGCCGCTAACCAACCTTCTTGCTATTTAATATTACGAAGTGTGTATATAAAATATGGTTCCTTTGCTGCAAAACCTCTCCATTTGCTGACATCAAGGTTCGAAATGCTTTAGTCTCTGTGATCCATCACAACTATCATGTCTATTCAACTAGTTGCCACTCTTGAGAATGATCCGTTGAATGTGTTTAACATTTATTCGAAATCGCTTCGCGTGGTGTTTGAAAATTACAGTTCGGTAGTACTTTTGCTGCATATACTGTCACCGTGTTATGTTCATTTCATTTTATCGTGATCTGTATTACTGCCGTTGGTGGGCAGATTTACCGACTTCCCATTCACTTTCTTAGCGCCTAGTTATTCATTCTTGTCTGTACCTCTCATTTTATAGTGAAACCAAATCTGTACCTCTCATTTTATAGTGAAACCAAAAGGAATGAAAATAAAATGACAAGCATACTGTACAGTGTCTATTGATGGATTTAGTGCACCCTTTATGGTGTCTATTGATGAATTTAGTGCACCGTTTATGGACTTTTTGTTGTGTGATCGCAGTAGTGATTGTTTGATATTGCTGTTGAGTGTTATTGTTTTTGTTAAAATTGATAAGAGTGGCTGCTGTCTGTTTTTTTTAGGCATGGGACATGCCCTTTCCTAACATAAGCGCTCATTAGTATCAAACTGTGAAGTTATGAGAACACGAATATTTCTTGCTCTGTAGGTTCTGCTGAAGGCAGCTTATGCTACCTTTCTAATAGACAAGTTGAGAACTTGCAAAACGTGACTCTTCTAATAGACAAGTCGAGAACTTACTTGAAGTAAAAACTGCAGTGCCTCTACATCATCAATCATTACACATGGCACCGTGTTTTGCTTATAAAAATGCTATTAATACCCATTTGATGTTTAAAATTTGTAAAGAGATTTTTCCTTTTTTATGTTGTCTCTCATGCTTTAAAGAATTTGCCTTTTGATATCTCACTGTAGTTAGAACTCAGTATTATCAACACTAAAAAGCCAATATTTGGTTAACTATTGTGCCTTTAGTTTAACTAGGATACAACAGATTTAGAAACTGGAAATGCTTCTGCTGCGTATCTCATATTCCAAGTAATTTCTTTTGAGATTTGTGAGCTCAGAGTATCTTATTATTTATTCCGCATGCTTCATTCAGGTCTCTGTTTTGATCGAGCATGATGGCGACATGTGATCCATATAGCTGACTCGACTTAGTGGGATTTTAACGGCTTGTTGATTGATTTTCATTCAGGTCTCTAATTTTTTATTGGTTAATTGTAATGTCTTTTAATCTTTATCTTCGAACTTTTGATGCTTTGTGAATACTGATAATATTTGGTTCGGATATTTTACCAGTTTTATTACCAAATTATGTTATTTTCTGAAAATGTCATGTAGTTTGGCCTCAAATGTATCCAACTGAAAGCAGCCAAGTGCAAGCAGAAGGGTAAATAATGGTGCTCTGAACAAGACGAACCCCAACTTCGATCTCGATTACGATTCATCAGCAACTCAAGTCCCGTCATCCACACGATTACTTTGCCGCCAGATGGATTTCTCCGAACTGGAAGCCACCGAGGGCCTGCGCTGGTCGTGGCACTCGTGGCCGGTTTCCAAGCACGAAGTCTCGTCTCTGGTGGTGCCACTATCAGTCATGTACACCCCATTAATGGAGTTCAACGAGCTTCCTGTCCTCCCTTACGAGCCCCTCACTTGCTCTGGATGCACCGCCGTTTTGAACCCTTACTCGCGCGTCGACTACACGTCCAAAATCTGGTCGTGCTCCTTCTGCCACCGGAAAAATCCCTTTCCCAAATCGTACACGCACATCAACGAGAACAATATCCCTGCCGAGCTGTTCCCAACTTACAGTACCGTCGAGTATCATCTGGGCCAGTTCTCGGGCCTGGATTCGGGCCTTGGAAGGACTGCGAGTGCGCCAATGGGGTTGAGATCGAACAATAGCTCGTTTTCGAGCATGTCTGCATATTCCACCTCAGACTGGGCTGGATCCGGGCCTGGTGTTGGGGTCGGGCCCGCATTCGTGTTCGTCGTGGATGCTTGCTCGTCCGAGGAGGAGCTCGGGATGCTGAAGAGGGAGCTTCTACACGTGATTGCGCAACTTCCGGAAAATTCTCTCGTCGGCCTGGTGGTTTTCGACTCCATGGTGAAGGTTTACGATTTGGGGTTCACCGAGTGCTTGAGAGTCGTGATGTTCCACGGCGAACGCGAGGTTTCGTCCGAGCAGGCCAAACGCTTTCTTAAACTTCATCACACGAAGCAGCATTCATTCGGAAAGGCACCGACACAACAACAACAACAAAGGCAACACGAGTTTTTACTTCCGGTCTCCGAGTGCGAGTTCACTATCACGACCGCAGTCGAAGACATCCACACCTCGCCACCTGTCCAGCCAGGTCATCGCCCCCTTCGCTGCACGGGCCCCGCCATATCCGCTGCCGTGGGCCTTCTCGAAGGCTGCTCGTTGACCACCGGCGCCCGAGTGATGCTCTTCACGTCCGGGCCCTCAACTATCGGGCCGGGCGCAATCGTGGGCCCGGACCTCGCCAACCCCATCCGGACCCACCGCCACCTCAGCGGCGGCCACAAGAAATCCGTCGAGTTCTACAAACAAATATCTCGCAGGCTAACCGACTCGTCCGTCGCGCTCGATCTCTTCGCCTGCTCTCTCGATCAGGTCGGAGCATACGAACTTAAAAACCCAGTCGAGCAATCGGGCGGATACATGATACTCGCCGAGTCGTTCGGGTCCGACCAGTTCGCCAAGTGCCTCCACCGCATATTCAACCGCGAAATGTTCTTCGACGCGACAATCGAGATCGTAACAACAAGAGACGTCAGAATACGCGGGGCCCTCGGCCCTTGCGTCTCTCTTAATAAGCTCAGCGAGTCGGTTAGCGAGCATTCGCATTCCTTAATCGGCCAAGGCGGGACCCACGTCTGGAAGATGTGTACTCTCACAAGCAAGACGTGTTTCGCCTTCTTCTTCGATATCGGGGACGAGAAAATTGCCCAGGCGGGGTCCGCGTTCCTCGTCCAGCTCATCACGCGCTACAGGCGAGCTGGGGGGGGAGTAAGAAAACGGGTGACGACTGTCGCCAGGAGATGGGTGGCGAAAAACTCGCCGGAGATCGCGGCCGGGTTCGACCAGGAGGCGGCGGCGGCGGTGATGGCACGGCTGGCGGCCCACCGGACGGAGAACGGCGGCTTCGACGTAATCCGGTGGCTCGACAAAAACCTGATCGGCTTTGCCTCGAAATTCGGGGACTACGTGCAGGAGGACCCGTCGACCTTCCGCCTCTCGGCCAATTTCTCGCTCTACCCGCAGTTCATGTACTACCTGAGACGTTCACAGTTTATCGACGTTTTCAACAGCACGCCGGACGAGACGGCTTACTTTCGACTGATGCTGAATCGCGAGGGAGTCGTGAACTGTCTTATAATGGTGCAGCCGACTCTTTTTCAGTACTCGTTCGACGGGCCGCCGGTGCCGGTGGTTTTGGACGTGTGCTCGATTTCGACCGACGTGATTTTACTGTTCGACTCGTTTTTTTATGTCGTGATACACTATGGCTCGAGAATCAGTGAGTGGAGGAAGATGGGGTATGACAGGGACCCGACGCACGAGAGCTTCCGGAAGTTGCTGGAGGCGCCGGAAGCGGATGCCGAGCAGCTGGTGGCGGAAAGAATTCCGGTGCCGAAGATGATAAAGTGCGATCAGCACGGAAGCCAGGCGAGGTTTCTTCTTGCGAAGTTGAATCCGTCTGTGACGCAGAATTCGAGTCATGCGGCGGAGGGTTCGGAGGTTATATTTACTGATGATGTGAGCTTGCAGGTGTTTATTGAGCACTTGCAAGCTCTGGCTGTGCAAGGGTAGTGGAATGTTGTCTAACGGGAGTTCGTGCGATTTTTGTGTTTTTGTTTGGTGGTGTGATGGAAGGATATACATATTTGTGTGTTTATGTTTTTTTGGCTGTATAGGGAATTAAGGGGAGGTTTGTAGGATTCTTAAGCATGTTTGGATATGAAAATTTTTAGTTTTGTTGGATTTTTTAGTTTGGTTTGGTTAATTTTGAAAAAGGTAGTATGATTAATTGTGAGTGGGTATATTAAAATAATATTTAAAATAAAATAATTAGAAATTTGATGTGATAGTTAGTTAAAATATTGTGAGTGAATGAATAGTGAATTAAGGTTGATATGGTGTATATGAATGATTGATTGATATTATTTAATTATATTAATAATATTGATGATAGTGGATTGAGTTAAAGTTGAGTTAAAAAAAAATAGTTGAGTTAAAATGTTAAATTTTTTTTTAAAATTTTTCATAAACAAATTGCTCTATGTGTTTCATCAATATTATTATTAATTTATACAAGTATAGTACTCCTGAGCATGAGAGCATTAATTATCTACTTAATTTTAAAAGGTATTTTTGTATTTAAATTGTCTCATGGCATAAAAAAATATCATGAAAATAATTTATATATTATTGAACACTTCCTTATGTATAACCATTTATGTCTGATTTTTTGGCACGTAAAGTGCTACATGGATTCGAATTTTATCGAAAATTGCGTATTATTAGCTATAGTGAACAAATTACGTTTGTTAAAAAATTAAGGAATTTTATTTATTAAACAAAATTCTAGTAGAAAAAAAGTAAAGATTTTTAGCGATTTTCATGCGATGCTATTTTATTTTTTAAATCTAATTCAAAATTTTTATTAATAAAAATTAAAAATAATCATTAGTTTTTCCTAAAAATGAAACTGATTTTTTCTACCAATATACCGATTTCTTTACCAGACAAATTGTTTCGAATATTTGGTTAAAACAAAGTGAAAAGAATTATCAATTTTTTCTAAAAATACAACTGAATTTTTCTACCATTGCACCGATTTATTTATTAAACAAATTGAATTGAAATTGATTCTAATAAAAAATTGGAGTAATGTATTAAGATTTATGCAACTATTTTTTTCCAAAAAAAATGATATGGATTTACTAAAATCTCGATAAAATATGATTAAGAAAAAAACATAAGAATCCAAAAAAAATCAGTGCATTCAAATTTTGAAAAGTTACACACACTTTTTCCTTGGCACATAATTTTGAAATTGATTTGAATTTTTTTCCTAATTGATTGGATAAGNTTAGAGAATAGAAGATTATATCATAAGAGACAATTTCAAGTAAATATATTTGAAACTGATAATATAATAATGTTCAAGATAATCTATGATAAATATTAACCTTTAAAGAATGGTCATACGACAGACAACTCCAGTCATCTGAAGAATGAAATCAAGAGGTTGATCAGGGTGGGTCACCTCAAAGAATTTGTATACAAGGACAAGAAAAAGAAAAGAAGGTGTTGAGAGGATCAAGATTATAAGGAAGATCAAGACGACGACGAGGACAAGGAGGACCAGGAGGATAGAATGGTCGATGAGGTGGAGGAAAAAGAGGTCGAGAAAGAGAGGATCACGGTTTGAGGGGGATGAAGCCCCACCTTAGAGGGGGGTCGTTCACATGATCTCTGGAGGTCCCATAGATGAGGACTCCAATAACGAGAGGAAGGAGCATGCTTGAGTTGCCAAACGGAAGCGAGAGGAAGTTAGTATTACAACTCGAGCACCTGTGATAATTGTCCGAGCGGAGAATGCTCAAGGATTACACGTGCCCAATAATGACGCATTGGTGATCAAGGGGAGTGATGAGAGAAAGTTTCGGATTGGGGCAAAGTTGGAGGATGGAGCTTATTAGGGTGGTGCGGGAGTTTGTGGATATCTTTGCTTACACGTCAAAAGAACTCACAGGAATTGATGCATGCATTATCGAGCATCGGTTGAACATCAATGTCAACGTTTGAAAATGTAATAAATAAAAATTTATTTAAATATTTGAAAATGTAATAAATAAAAATTTCATTCTACATTTTATTATCACTATACATGTTTTATGATTTTTTTTATTTATTTAAAGTATAGTTCACTCGCGTTTTTTTTAACACTCGGCCGTGCAACGCACGGGCGACGTACTAGTTGTAAAGTAACTCTAACACTTGGATAAATGAAACAATGAGTAATAACCAAGCTTATTTGGCCTCGTTGAGCCTAACGAGCCGAACGTGTTCTCATTTTGCTTTATATGGCAGTTTATCTTAATGTGGAAGTCTTTCCAGGTAAAAATACAAAAAAACTACTAAAAAACTACTAAAAAACTACTAAAAATTATCTAACATATTATAACTTTCAAAGATGTCTTACAATATGAAAGAACTCATACAAATAGTCAAATACACTCGGCAGTCACAGAAAACATGGACATTTTATACATGTTACATAAAATCAAAAGAAACATCTGCTATGCCATTGCGTTGAATTGTTCCAGAATCGAATTATACACATAAGATAGTTGACTTAATTAAATTTGTACACTTGAAAGGAGCAGAGAGTGTTATGAGTTGTAGGACCATGCAACAAATAATATTAGTGATAGTTATGTCAATCATCATCAAGCCTCACAATTCTCGGTATTTGGTTATAGTTCGCGAAATCGATCTTGTTCAATCTCACACATGCAAGAACTTCCTCTGGTAGTTCTTCTGGCTTTTGCGCCTGTTTCGTTTATAAACAGAGACAAAATTTAAATATTAGATGTTCAATCATGTAATACTAATATATTTCAATTATTTATATTTATAAATCCAAAATATAAAGGTGTTTTGTGGTGTTTATTTTATGTTGCAACAAACATTATAAAGCTACCACAGATTTGAAGAATACTTTCAGGTGTTTATGGTTTTGAGTGGTGATAACTTGGTATTTTCTTTGTAAAGAATACACACATACTATGATACAATAAATATGCTTCTCAAATTTCAATAGAGGAGAGGTACCCCATTTTGAACTATTAGGTTGAAAATATATTAAAAAAAAAAAAAAAAACTTTTCGAACCTGAATTGTCAAGCCGAGATCTAGAATTCCACTGCCTAAACGTTCATGGAAGGCTTCAAGCCCCTTTCTTGCTATGTAGCTAAATCGGTGAATGTCAAGGTCAATCTCGAAGTAACCGGGACCCTGTATTGCATAAATGAAAGGATTTATAAATATCAGAATTAAGATCAATTCATAATGTAATCATTGTTTAGAAAATACAACTTTAACTTTAAAACAATGGTGGAACATTTAGTTAATTAGAATATAGCCATTAAGGTTTCATGTACTTGAAGAAAAAAATTTGACCAAAGTTTTCAATAAATAAGCAAAAATTTCAAAACAATTTGCCAATAAATTCATAGGAATATTAAAATTATAAAAACCAAACTTGAAGAGTGTTTTATTTATTTATTTTTATTTTCATCCTCACTTGGGTGAAAATTATATATCTGCTTTGGCATAAAGCAAAACTTGTAACCTCATAAAATTCGTGTTGAGGTCGAGAAAGGACTGGCTTTTCATTGTACGCAGCTAAAAGCTTTCTCTCTGTGACAGTCGCAGCAAGGTCGTCTGGATTTACCACACCAACCATAATTTTTAACCTCTCCCGAAAGGACACAAAAGAACTTTTTGTATACCCTTTCACGTTTTCCATCTCATCATCCACAAATTTCTGTACACAAAAACATTCGCTTTTGTAAAACATTTGCTTTTTATTTCAAAAGTTAAAAGTCGGTAAGGGGCTCCCAGTTTTTTTCATAACTTACGTTTGCTGATTGAGATACGACTTCAATTATTCAAATTCAAAAAATCTAAAAGGCGGGAAATTGTAAATATATCCACACACCTTAATACTGTCTTGAAATTGGGGAGATACATCTCTCTCGAAAGTTTTGGAAAGCTTAAAGTAGAGAACGAGGCTCAAACCCTCCCCATCACCATCACCAAGAAACATGGGAGGTGTATAAGTGGGAAGCTGCAACATAAAGAAAAGAAAAAATATTTAATTGTTATTTCACCACTTTCGAAATCGACTGGTATGAATAAATATCATTATGTGTACAATAATGGCCTCATTTTCTGCACCAAAAGAATAAAAAAAAACAGTTAATAAATATTACCTGAATGTTGACAATTAGAAGAGAAGGTGCTTTTTCATTTTCTTCCAAGGGAGGAAGGTCAAGGTGTTGAGCAATGTGATTGATCTTTCTCGGGCTCACAAATAAATCAACACCGATTGGAGTGTAAGGAGAGACGTTAGGAGCAGGAGACTTCTTCTTATCTCTGCAAGATGGAAAAAAAAAATAAAATTAATTAATTAATTAGACAAATGAAAACACTTGAAACTAGAATGCATCTTGAAAGAAATTTTCTTTCAAATTTTTAAAGGTTATTACGAAAAGGGACAATAAACATAAACATACCTGAAGTAGCTCTCTCCACGAAGTTTGAAGGTTGAAGGCTCTATCACGGACCAAGTGCCAGGTGTTGGTTTCCCATTGGTCGAGCATGGGATGAGTAGGCCAGCTCTAGGACGGTAAAGATACTGTGTTGAAGTACCTGGATCGACAACAATACTCTACATTTAATCTTTCAAGAGGGTTAAAACAATGAATACATAGGAAAACACTACACTAATGTTTCAAAATTATAATGATAATGTCACTTAAGACTTTTGTTTATCTGAAGGGAAAATCACAAAAGATTACTCCTGAGAGTTGGGTATGAGCAACAAAACCCCAAAAGTTCCAAAGAATTGATGAAATTGAGATTTGTATGAGGGCAGCTGTGTTTGATCAAAATCTCAAGTGTTTTTCTGAGTTTCTTTTTTATGTGCACCAAACTTAAGGAGTGAACTATGTGATCCCTTTTTCCGAACAAGAGTAGAAACAAATGCGAGGAGTTCATTTAGAAAGTTCCTATTTGTAATCAGACTAAGAAAAATTTCAAAAATAATTTTCCAAGCATCCACAAGAGCACAATTAAACGAAAATTAACATCAATATATCATTACCATGCACACAATAAACTTAAATGTTTTTTTTTTTTCCTTTCAAGAAAATACTTACGAAATGCTTTTATTTCATTTTCCTCGACAGATTTCCTCGTGATAGAGAGCCTTATGACTGTGGACGGCTTCTTATGAGACTGTGGGTCCCAACTCATAGTTGAGAAGATCTTGTCATTGAAGCTCAAGGATGGGACCTTATGAGGTAAAACCGACTTAAACAAAGTCCCTTGATTCTTTTCCTCAACAGAACTCTTTTCGACCCTCAGTCCATTAAAGCTCAAAAAGACTTTATCAAGTTTTTTCTTTTCCTCCCTCATTACAAGGCTTGGAAGCTCTTTCTGTTGTGCGTCTGTTAACAAGAAACTGTTGGGATCCGAGACACGGTCTTTGCTCAAGAAGATCTCTCCCGTTTGGTTGTTGTCAATTTTTAGGTACTTTTCATGGTACTCTTTGAAATTACACTTGTTGTCCATAAAGCATGACGAGGTTTCGTATTGGAGCACTTGCCCAGTTGCCATATCAGGAAATAAATCTACATTACAAGATATTAAGTAAGGTAATTGCATTTTATCGAGCCCCAAATTCTGATATGTGCACCAAACAATTCTAACAGAAATAA